GTCTCTCGTGATATTTAGGTAACTTCTCCTAATTTAGTTTTGCGGTACCGTTTGAACTTCAACGCAATCTGCTACCGTTGGCGGAAAGCTTCCGTTCTTATTAGGTCCCTGATTTTGGAATGTATTAAACGGACCGTATTCAGAGAAAACGAAAACTAGTTTTCTCAAGGTTGTACTGCATCTTTTTTTATAGCTACTTGGGTGGGACTAAGTCCCTTGTACTGCAGCCACTTCTGGCCTATTGTACCAGCCCCAGATGATAGGTGAGGGTGATTGTGGAGCAATTGGTGGAATGAAGATTGGCAGGGGAAACCGAAGTACTCGGAGAAAACCTTCTCCACGGCCACTTTGTCCACCACAAATCCCACTTGACCATACCCGGGATCGAACCCGGGCCGCCGCGGTAGGAAGCCAGCGACTAACCGCTTGAGTATGTTGCTGCATGTCACTTATTTTCACTTCATTCCGAAGAACCTGATGATGACCATATCGATCGTAACATATAGTGCGCCAGTGATGCGAAAATATTTAAAATAAAAGGCCTGAATTTTAATATTTTAACACAAGTGTGCATGTGAGACCTTGAATATGAAATGAGAATAATTTTCTCAAGTGTAGTTGATTTTTCGACAATCCCATATCTTCCCAAAATATTCATTTAGAAGATGGACCAATTGTGAGACGTGAGAAGAGTGTCCCAACCGTGGGGCTCCTACGGCAACAAGCAGCTGACTGACTAACCGGCCAATGCTTCCTCCCCATCTCTTGTGCTGTGGGCAGCCGACCCGCTATCAACCAAGTTCAGCAGCCTCTGTATTCGAAAAATCCTTACCGAGCAAGTTGGGACAAGCGGGAACCTTTCTGTCTTGCATTCTTGAGGTGCTTAGTTCTTATCTCGGGCGGGGCATGAACTATTCTGACTGAAGTCTTTCATGGTTTTTCTCAGCCACCTAAACCAAATTTTGGGATGGTGCATCAAATTAAGCCTCGACAGCTTATTTCCACATCCTTTCCAATAATATTAAATTTGTCGCTATGTGGTCTCAGCTACTGGCAACATAATTAAACAAACAGTAAGCAAATAAACAACAAATGTAGCCTACCCATACGAAATCAGGGTATCAGGTCCACTTTCGTGGTAGAATAAAGTTGGTCGTGCCAAACAGAAAATATTGAAAACTCAGAAACTTTGGAGAAACGTAGCAGGTTGATGTTAATGAGGAATTAATGTGGAAGTTGTCATGACGAATGTCAGTGCAGATCAAAGCAACGAGTCTCTAAGTTGAAAGGTATCAGGCTGGCTGTCATTGAGTCCAGTGATTTCAGAATTTCAAATTGAAGTGAAAATTTGCTATTGCATTTGATGTTTAATTTTGACTACAAGTATTTATAACATAAGCAGACTCATTATGCAGTCGTTAAGACTGGATGTAATTAGATACTTGAGCAATGCTGAAGGCCTATATTTACAAAATGATTCGATGTCAATAAGTATGTTTTCGTTATCGATATGGAGTTCCATATCAACTGGTTTTCTTACGAACTCGGCTATTCTAGGACATTTTTGTTTCTTTCATTGCGCGCACATGTGGCATATGCCTACAGAACACTAGATCGTATCCCGGATCTCTCAACTCTCATGACGAAACTTCGTATGATCTTTACTTCGTGAGTTCTGTTACGACACGGCCAGTATTTTGACTGCATAACGTCGAATGACAGAGTGACTGATGACTTGAAAAGAATTTGGCAGGAAGCGATCTTGGCCTAATTAATAAATTTTCCTGGAGGAACTGAGGAAATTCACGAAAGTGTCAGTAGGAATAGCCGGTGTCTCGGCCAACTTTCGAAATGAAGACCTTCCAAATACAAGCCAACAGAATGACCGTTATGTTAGTGTGCCGAGACCACAGGAAGAATTACCAAACAATTCTAATCTTGATTCAGAACCAACCTCCAGAAATCCGACTTTTATATAAGGGCATAATATTTAAATCTAAGTCGCGATAGCTCAGTCAGGGTAGCGGCCGGTCACGGGCTATATGGTCGGGCAGTCCGGGTTCGATTCCCAGCAGCAGCAAGAGGACATTTATATCCTCTTCACAACGTCTAGAGTCTAGACTCCAGACCGAATCTGGTTCACTCCCAGGCTCCTGTCCAGTGGATACTGGGGGCAAAAAGCCCTGGGGACGTGAAGCTGATAATATACATCTACATACTGTTCAAGCGAAGAGCGCATGGAGTTACAAACGCCCTCTCCCACACGTTTTCATTGCATGGTACAGGAACATCCTTATTCACGTTAGACCCACAATTACACAAAATCGCAATGCGAAATTTCAAATACCATATTGTATATCCTTACAGGATACGAGGTTCCCTCAATTGCAATGTGACGCCGTGTAGTTTCTTAGACAGATACCAAGCTTTCGACTATGAATTTAGAGGTAACATTTACTTCCAACCCGTTGATCCCTGTTTAGAAAACTAGACGGCAACCCATCCCAGAATATCCGAACCTCACGTGTCTTTATTTAACGAGATATTATGCAGTGCGCATATTTTTGTATAACGCACTTGAGCTGTGTAGAACCTCGTTAAGCTGACAGACACGTGTGTGTTTCTACTTTTGCAACATATTCTACACATTCTTGCGTTTCTAGTGCTTTGTTTGATTTTTATTTCATGAAGTATGCTAATAAAAATGTATCGGTACAATATGCTTGGGTATTCTGCTCTAGCGTATCATTTAACTAACAAAATAATATCTTTCTTTTTTGTCTTTACTCTTTCGAAACTTTAGTGAGCTTTTCCTGGTTCTGCGGAACACAATTTGATAATCAGCACGCGAAGAACCGGGTTTTTCATCGTCTTGAAACGAACTTCACATCACGGATTTGTCAGAGTTTGTTTTTCAGTATCGGAACACTGATCTGAAAGAGGCCTCACCTTCTTCTCTCAAATCTTGAGCTATCACAAACTGTTACACATCCGACGTCTTCAAATTAGGACGTACTGAGTTTCAAATGTCAGTGAGACAAATACCGACTGTTACCCTCAGAACTAGACACAAGAATTGGTATGTCGTCGCTAAATAACACAAGAAACTTAGAGCCACACACACAGACACGCACTCGCTGGAGTCAGCAACGGGGACTGTACTGGATCTGCTAGCATCCCCACATTGCACAAAGCCGGGGCTACTGGAGAACCGGTTTGGGTTACTCCAGCTGGATTTGCACGGTTCCAGGTCAAGGGGTTACCCACTCGAGATCGCAAGAGGAAATGCAAATCAGATTACATCTAATTTAACCAAGTTCATTTTGCCGATATGCATTATATATTAAAATAAAACGTGTAATTATATTTTATCAGTAAAACGGAAGCTAATTAAATATATTTGGATGGTGCTTCCTCATCATATTTTAATACCACTTCTGCCACTATGTGTGGGTAACATAGCGCTCTGCAACTGCTTCATATTTCCTGCTTTCCATATATGCGATATACGGGCGAAAGTATTTTGATCACGAAAAATTCCATCTAGAGAACTGGACGAATTTACAGATTTTTAACTTCCCTGAATACAAAAGTGGTTTCTGGACTGCCGCCTATATGTATGTATGTATGTGTTTGTGTGTATATATGTATGCATTTATGTATTTATGTATGTACATGTATGTATGTATGGGTGGATGGATGTGTGCCTCACAAGCCTCTGAGCGGTTGGACGGAGTTTATCCATGTTCAGTATTCAAGAGTTTATCCGTCACAGGTCGACTCCCGGTGAACATGAAAATTGTAGCTCCGAAAAATATTGATCCTTCAGGTGGGTCCTAAAAAATAGAACAACATTATTCTCAAGAACATCTTTAAATTTTGTATTAATTAAGATCATCTTTCTAAATAAAAACATAAATTTATCCCTGGGCTTAATCAGTTAAGCACCACGCTATGAGAACATATAGAGAAGTGGAGGTATAGCTCATCTCTTCTTAACCATGGCACTAGATGCGCGTCAGTTGTCAGTTTCACTCCCCGGAAGCTTTTCCTGCAGGGACACACTCGTCGGTAACCGTTGTATGGGAGACTGGGTGGGCCTCAGAGGGAGTCTGGACGCTGTGCTCTCCAACCGGGGCGTAATCATTGTCTTCAGGCAAACAAGGGTACGTACACTATGGGCCCCTAAACGTGAAATGTAGATTTTGTTGAAATTTGCTTTATCAGTCAGACATATTTCTTTGTTATTCGGTGCTCAGTTACCAACAGTGGTCTACCTAGAAACACTCGATTTCGTGTTGTCAGTGATTTTAGGATATAAAATTTGAGTAATAATTGCTAAGTGTAAATTTTGTTCCATTGACTGATTATTAGAATGTATACATTTTGGTTCATGGATTGATGGTTAAGATATAGAAACCTGGTTTAGTAGTTACTCTGTTGGGTCCCTTAGAAAGGGCTAGCCTCAGTCAGTGGACCAGTGTCCAGAGTAGGTGTCTTCCCTCACCTGAGGATGGAAACAGATCCAGTTTCCGAAACGTGCTTTTTCTAAGTAATTTAGAATCCGGACAATGGACAAAGTCCGAAACCCAGCGTCTCTGTGTGTTCCCATACATGGTTTTATCTCTGTTGCTATTTCCATGCGCACAGTCATTGAGAGAGTAATTTCTTTTCGGATATAAGTGTAAGAAATCTGAGGGACCTGAATTACTTTCTAGAAAACGATGTTCGAACGCTAGTGAGAGCGAATCAAGATGTGGCACAAAGATATTTCTTCAAAAATATTCTTGTGATATGTCTGCGGAGAGATGGTTTGATGCTCCTCTTGTTTCTCCGAGCGCGGACAGGCTCACTCCACCTCCACATCATTGGCAACTGATTCCGAAATTCGAAGATTGCTCTGTATTATCTTATGGCATTTTCCCGATGAAATCGAAACTTTCGCCTCGAATACGCGTCATGATTTAGTATTGAATGTAAGTCGAAATCTTTTGTTGCAGATAAACCGGTGATAGACTCGAGCTTGGAAGAACGCCCTGCAATGATTGGAAGGCAAGTAACGAAACGTGGCTGTCGCGCTGCGTGAAGCAGTCCACATACACGGTTTCTGTTGACATTACTAGATTCTGTGGATAGTGTTATGAAAATCTGGTACTTGGCACAAAAGATTTGCATGCTCTTACGCGTCACAGCAAGCGTTCTGCGTTTTGTTCCTCTGAACCGAGCTCTGTGGAATAGCCTCGCAATGCGTTTTATAGTACCAGATGTGGCACACACTTCAACTAAGTCATTTAAGTCAGTAATAACACGATTCATTCGGTGACTGGCACAATGGAGGAAAAATAGTTTTGGGATATTTTTTTCATTTCAAGCTTTGAACGCCTCCGATCCGTCCTTCCACCTGAGAATATCAGTCGCAGTCTTGACTTCCTCTTGTTTTCGTGTCGAAACTATGTATAATTTTACAGAACTTGGGTAATAGGACAGGACACGACCTCCGCCGAGAGATTCTCGTTTGGTACGAGCCCAGTCTTCTCGAATACGATATTCGTAATCAATTCACTTCCCCACAAATGGCACCTTATTCCAAGCTGCTCAGTGCCGCCAATGTCTGCCGTTCCATCATCCAGAAATGAAAGCGAAATGCTGCTCTTAACATCCGGTAACAGGCACCAGTTTTAAAATATTTAGTTTTGTATTTGGTGAAAAATAAAAACGGTGTAGTGAGGGCTGATTTGAAGACGCTGCTTTACATGGTCATCACAAGACTCTATTCCGAGTTCGAGAAAGACCTTGGAAACCTCAGTGTCATTCGTTCTTTCTCCCACCAATAGATAGCGGATTCCACCAAATACTGTGTCATGTTTGCTGAAAGCCAGAATTGTGAAGCCCGCAGACAACCGTCGCTAGGAAATGGCTCTGCAAACATGGCCGTTGCTGGACAACAGCTTCGTAAGCACGCAACAATACCAGAGCCATCGATAAGCAACATATCCATGCAACAATGGAGGAACTGTTGAAAGCGGTGTTTTCTGCGCGTTCCGTACCGAGGCAATATAATGAGTGGAAAGTGAAGAGCACGACTCTCTAACCAACTGAGCTAACGGGCCACACAATTGGTATGAGAGCGCCTTGAACCTATCTGCAGATTCATGCGTTCAATTCATTGCTGGAGGAGAGAGCAGTGAGGACTCAGAGAGACATCAACGGAGGCTAAGAAAATTGTGTCAAGAAACCAGGGATTCCGCGTGATCAATTCATTGCTGGAGGAGAGAGCAGTGAGGACTCAGAGAGACATTTTGAAGCTGCAGAGAGTAAATTCAATTCAGTGCTGGAGGAGAGAGGAGTGATGACTCGGAGAGACATCAACGGAGGCTAAGAAAAGTGTGTCAGGAAACCAGGGATCCCGCGTGAAAGACAGCAGAAACTGCCTTCTAAAAGAAGTTATTGAAGGAAAGATAGAGGGGCGCTCTATCTTTCCTTCAATAACTTCTTTTAGAAGGCAGTTTCTGCGTAAAACGTGACCAATCCAATTAGCCTTCCGTTTTCTTATTTCGTGTAGGATATTCCTCTGCTCACTGACTCTAAT